GGGGAACTAGCTGGTGGTGGCGAGTCTGATGATCCGGGCAGAGGAGTGGAGGCTGAAGGTGGGGGACTGGTTGGCGGGGGGGATGCTGCAGGTGGAGAAGGCGAAGCCATAGGAGGAGATGCTGTCACATTAATGGAAGGATTTGATTGTGGCGGTAAAGACGGAGGAGCATTGGTGGTGTCGTCTGACCCTGAAGAGGGGTCCTGCGAAGGAGAACTCTGCTGTGGGGGTGGGACATAAGATGTAGGTGAAAGAGGAGATTGTGCAGAATCTAGAGATGAACTGCTACCAGACATTTCACTATCAAAGCTTCTTTAACCAAATCTAACCATTCCTAAGATGATGATGATGCATTGTTAGATTCAACAATTTCCAGTCAAGCTTGAAGTTTCAGACAATTCCAGTACTGATAAAAAAACATATCAATCCCCCACATTCTACATACACCCAAACAATTCAGACACCCCAGTTCCACAGTTCAATCAGACAAATCATCAAACACTTGGCGTGCCAGAACAAAGCGAACACCTTTCTACGCCAGCGAGCAAGAACTGCCCGGGATCGCAAATTCGGGGATGACCAAATCAAGAAATCCCAAGAAAACAAAAACCCCAAACCCCAGTTGCATACCACTGATTCAACAATGCAGAACAAGAACAGTCACCCCTGTAGGAATCGAAGGGCCATTTCAGCTCGAATCAAATTGATCCCAACTTTACCTTTTCAACTCTCTCCCCTCGCACCAAAGACTGGGGGGAGGCTTCAGCGTGAAGCTCAACGGAATCAAATCCGATCTTTATCGTACACAATGGGGGGGAAGAAAATGCCTTTTATTAACTGGAGAAGCACTTCTTCTTCAAAAAAATAAAAAATAAAATCATCAAACCCAATACACGCAAAATGGGGTCTCTCTGAATTTAGTGTGAACAAGTGATGAATATTGAAATGAGAGTGTCCGACGACCAGAGAAGGAGAATCATTACAACCGCGGCATTATTCTTTGATTTTTACCAAGCCGAGTTTATTACAGTATTGGGAGTTTTTTTTTTTTATCGTTTGACGGAGTAATATCTGATTTCAGTGATTTGTAATGGTAGTGTCATCCCACGACTTAAATAAAGAATGGTAGTGTCATCCCACGACTTAATATATTTATATGACATTTTAATCTACTCCATATAACTTGTGTATGTAATTTTGAAGTATAATTTTTTTTATTTTTATGCTAATTTATAAATAAAATAATTTTACTCTTTGAGAAAGATGAGATTTTGTATGTTGTTTGAAATGAAACGATATTTCTTAAATGGTGAGAGAAAAAACAATTGTAATTAAAATTGGAACGGAAGAAGTATGAATCACATTATATTTACTTTAAAAATAAAGTTATCTAAATAAGATCCAAAGATAGTACAACTCATACCAACATAAGAAATCTTCTATATTTTTATCACCTAAATAAGAATTATTATTACAGTTGAACACTTGGAATTTGAAAATTTGTGTGCTAACTTAATATTTCACAGTATTTTTTAGATTAAAACTCAATACTAAACTCAAACATGAAATAACTTTTTTCCCAGCCAAACATGAAATAACTTGAATTAAAACTGAACATGAATCCGAAACTAAACAGCTGAACTCGTGATTTATTTGAATATAATCATCAAATAACCTATGTATTCTAAAAGAAATTGAAATGTAATGTATTAATGGAATAAAATGAAAGGAAGAAGAACAGCATAATAGGGTTTAGAGGGGTATTTAGAGTGTGTTTTATATTCACATACATTTGATATGATAAGAAAAAGCATTCTATATATCAAGACATAGAAGAAGCCATCCGGTCTTCCCCCGCCGAAACACTTCATCCAAACAGACCCTAACACCTCGAGAATCCTACACCAAATGTTAGAAGATTATGGCCGGTATAAACTGGTAACGAACTATGCAGAGAGAGAACAGATTAGACCTCATTATGGAAGACTCTTTGATTTGTTCTTACCCTTCTACTTGAGCAGAAAAGAGACATGTGGAAAGGATTAAACCAAAAGGGGAAATAGGCGGTTTAGATGGGTAAGAACCCGAATATAAAAGGGCGATTTGGTCCACTAAAGGTCTATAAAGAAAGATGGAATATAGAATCAGTTCTGCGCTTTGGTAAATCTTGCATTTCGCCTGGAATGAATCTCAGCTGCCCAACTTTTTCCTATTTCAGTTTGAATCTTTCCTGCATTCACATATAAGGAACGAAAACATCTTTGTTATAGCCAGCATTCCCTCTGTTTTCAAATAATAACTGTCGTTTAATATTTTTGTATAAACTTAAAAAAAATGTTCCAAACCCGACTAAAAAAGGTAGTAATATGACCACAATACCCCCTCATAAATGAACTAAGATATCTGCCATTTGCCTTCCTTGAGTGTACAAGGCCAAACAGAACAACATCCAATGCAAGTGCATTGCAACAACAAAAAAAGGTTCAATCACCTGCAACTGAGAGGAAGAATTCATCCAGTTCTTTCCCATGTTCTGCAAAGATATTTTTTGAATGGAAAGAATTATAAGTCAGCTCAATAAGGATGAAGCTCAAAATACAAAGAAACAATAACTGATATAACTGTAGTGTGAGACACAATGCATAGATGGCCACTTCTTTAACTGTTAAAGAGCAGAAATACTTCAAACAATGCAATAGAACAGTGGTTGATATATTTTGAGGGTGGAAATGAAAGTGAGCTTGAAATCGAGAATCACCAGTTTCATACTCCAGTGCCTGCAGAATCAATTCAACCTGGAGATGTATGGAATTGTTAAATTTCTCATAAGATGCAATTATGCCAGTAATTTATCAAGAACAGGTCAATGCAAATTAGTAGTACAATGTGCATGCCAACAAGATAGGTAGAAAAACACTATAAACACAAGCATTGATTGAAACAATTCACCAACTACTTCGTGGTGTTAGACTGTTTGGCGGGTGAGGCTGTGATAGTTTTAAGTTTTAACAAGAGGAAGCCCATTAAATTGGCCATATATACAACGTCAGCTATCAAAACTCTTGGCCAATTCGTAGATGAAAATGACAAAAAATTGAGACCAGATCGGTTTTATTTATAACAGAGTAATAATAATAATACAACGGGAAAATATAAATAATTAAATACACTACGTAAATGTGAGCTTGAAACAGGAAATTAAAATTTTCCACACAAAACAAGTTGGATACCGATGCTTATAAAAATGTGTAAACATTTTTTTTTTAAAAAAAGAGTAAAATGTAAATATTTTTTTCTTTCAGGAAATCCTAAATGCTAGTTGCTCACGTGTTCTACAATCTAATGCTAATGGGCATCCTAACAAAGGAATACAAGGTCTAAAAGATAAGAAAACATAAACATTAAAATAACATTGGAGCAGTGGTTAGAATTGTTTTAGAATCTTTTTTTTTGCATGGTAAGTTGGTAACTGTGTCCTGAGAAATTTCTTATGGTGTTCATATAAAGACTTTACATCTCCATGAGCAAGGCAAAATACTTCAATAAACATAGTAAAGCAGTGGTGAAGCTGTTGGTGAAATATCAGATACGGAGTATATTGAAAAGGAATAATCAGACCAAATTTTCCATTGAACGGTTTGCACCTAATACACATGAATAATGTATCAAAAAAAGCCTAAAATCTGACACAAGCGGATGATAAAAGCAGATGCATACCTTATCAAAATCTTTTACAAGATTGGCCTCCAACGAAGCATTGTTTTCATACTCAGCCCAAAGTTCCTGGATTTCGTCAGCTGGACACATTAAATCACTACATTAAACTGCAGAAAGTGATGTTTATTGATCATTCTCTCCAAAGAAAAGACAATAGGGCTATAGGATACCTCTCATTCCTCCACCAAGAACTTTGCACATTTCATTCAGTGCAGCTTGCTCTCTTCTGCTTTTTTCTTCTTTAGGCACACCATCTGATGGAGTTATATCTCCAACAATTGCTACATAAATTATAAATGCACATAAACTTAAAACAGCATAAAAACATCTCAGAAAAGGAAATCTAGGAACATACACTTCTAATAAACCTTTGGGCCTAGGATAGCTGAGTAGACTTTTGGGCCTTAGTTTGGAGCCTGTAGTTTTCCTTAGCTTGTAGCTTGTGCTTGTGTGCTTTGTGTCATTGTGTGCTTTGGGTCTGAGTTGCTAGTTTTGGTATGAATGACTGTCTACAGACTGCATCTTTGACACAACTTTCTCACCCGCTAGTTTTTTGTGGCAACCCATAATGCAATACTCGTAATACTTGGCACGACTTTTAATATAGTGGAATTTGTGTATTTGTGGTTTGTGCAGAGGAAAGAAAAATGATATGGACCATGCAACTTTTTCCTTGAAAAGAAAGTGGAAGAAAATTTTGGGACAACCCAAAATATTATGGTGTAAATACTATTGCATGCTAAACATCAGTCACAGAGAAAGCAAAGGAAGAAATACCTTCGGCTATATCATGAACAATTGCTATTTTAATACACCTGTTGCATAAATATAACAAAAACTGCCATTACCTCAATCAATCAATCAATATATATAATTATTCAATGGCATTTTTGTATACAATATATATTGCTTTGAAATGAAAGTTTGGTAAAATTAGCCAGGTAGGTAAACGAAGTTGTTATTCGATCTCGATCTTTACTTTGATTCAATCATAAATCATAGTAGTTATCAAAATATTATAGCATGCTAAATAATACTCCCCAGTCCCAAAATAAGCTTCCCAGTTTCCTTTTTCACGTCGTCCCAAAATAAACGTATCATTCCCTTTAAGGAAAACATTGAATAGTTCACATTATTTCTCTCCTCTGCATAAATCACAACCACACAATTTCACAATTTATTGAACTCCATAGAGAAACAAATGGGAGGTTTAATTTGGAACGAAGCAAATAATTATTACGGAGTAATAAAGAAGCTTAAAGAGAAACAATCAAACAACCACAACTTTCAGTAATCAAAATGAAGCCCTAGAGTCCAACCTCTCTCTATCGACTCCAGGAAGATCCCCAGCAATCAAAGCCATCAGAGCCATACGATACATGTGATCAGCAATTGACTCAGGACCTTTGATCCCATGATTTATCCAACCCTTCCTTTTTGTAGTCTACAGTGGAACACAAAATGGATTATAAGTTCTAAAACCAAACACTCCAATGTTTTTGGAATGTTTGTCTAAATCTAAAAGCTAAAAAATTTCCTTGAGAACAAGCTAATGCAATGCTATAAAGAATGCAGATCATTTCTCTTTATATGCACTAGATTTTAGAAGTTCTTTTTTAATTGACTTTCATAGACATAATACAAGGCATCATTAGCGCCTCGTCCCTGATGATTTTGAAAATGATACTACCTCAACATGAGAAAAAAAAGTGTAGCTTAACCAAGTCATAGCTTTTAACATTAAGGTAATTAACTAAGTTCAACATATGTACCTTGTCTTTCACTCTTATTTGACAAACTACAGGAAAATGTAGCTTCGTTTTTCTATTAAATGTGCCCAAAAGATAGCACTTGGGTGAAACATGACTCTTATTTTGAGACCGAGTGTATATAATTTATTACTCCGTATTACGTATTTTTAAAAAAAGTAATGTCAAGCATCTGTTGAGAATCCATAGAATAACCAGTTTAGATTTAAGGGGGCCAATGACAAGAAAATTGTGAATAAATTCTTCGCCCTGGCAGAATAAAGATTTTTTCCATGTAGATACAATGCTTCACGCTCATCTGATAGGTGAATTCCACCCTCTTTTACACCATGATTCCTTCGGTCAATATTGTATCAACAAGATAAAGTTTCCAGAATAAAATTTTCACAACAACGCATCTAATTCCATCAAATCTACCCATTGATTTCTTAATGTTCATCCATTTTTACAAACCAACCAGATGATTCCTGAACTAAAAGAAATCCACAAGAAGAGCCAAAAATGCTTTAAAATCCAAAAGAGAAAAGTTTACCTTCAGGCTATGGCACAGTGTGAGAAAATCAATGGCATTAGAAGGAGAAGACGAAGCTCCGCCGCCGTTGGATTCATCAACCAACGAGATTGGGCTTCTCGACCCAGATCCGATTCCGGGTACACTCGGGTCGGTTTTCACAGACTCGGAATCGGGCACGAGGGCACGAAGCGAAACACGCCTCGCGCATTGCGATCGGGGAGGGAAAAATAATTGGATTTGATTCGACGAAATTCGACCGGAATTTGGGCCGGGCGTCAGAGAAGAGGGAGCGGGCGATAGAGAAATAGGCGAGAAGCTGCGCCTAGCGGCCATTGTTGCGTAGAGGGACGGCTGCGATTCACTGGTTTCTGACTCCGAGTCGGAGTTTTCAGTTGGAGAGGCAGTGGTCGCCGCCGATGGGCTCGCCGCAGAAGGAGGTTGTGTGTATATACTTCTGAAGGAATTTGGGCCCCATTTCGGAATCTCATATTTGACGATTCAGCTAGTATTGCCACGTAATACAGCCCAATTTTTTTAGTAGTATTAAAATGATCTTTGCAAAGAGTATTCACATGGTCAAATATTTATTTTTATTAGTTATTTGATAAAATAATATAGTTATGGTACTTTTTATTTTGTAGGCATTTTGATGTGCTTTTAAAATATATAAATTTTATTTTTAAATTTTACACCTATAATCAAATAAATTGAATTGAAAATAATTTCAGTCAAACCTTATATATCAAACTGTGAATATGATTTTAGGACGAAGGAAGTATTAATAACTCCGTTACCGTGATAATATTTGGTGACATATTTGCTCATCTTATTGAAATGGAAAATGATATTTGTATCCCAAGAATTTGTACCCCATTTTGTACACCGCAGAGATGTACCAACATTTTATGCTGGTGTAATGCTAATTTTTGTTAACACATCAACACTTTGTGTCAGTGTAAATTTTTGTTAGCGCACCAACACTTTGTGTCAGTGTGAACTGTAAATCATCAAAATGTTAGTCCATACCTTTGTTGTACAAATAGGGTACAAATTTTGGAATACATGTAGCTCCTATTGAAATATAGAGTTATGGAATCTAAGCTCATAGTGACATCTTAATTATTTGAAAATGTCATTATGGTACCATTAGACTACAAGATTTTTGGTTTTTTGGTAATACTTCTGAATTTTTTTAATTTAAAAAAAATCTAATTTAGATCAATTCTAAGATTCTATTCAATTTATTTGTATTTCTTACTATATGTACTTATTTTTTGGTATTAGATTGGACCAAACTGATCAGAAATAATTTTAAGTACAATTAGAATTACTCCGTATATTATATTGGATTAAATTAGTCCTTAATAAAAATCAAATTAGATCTACTTATATCATACGTACGAAGACAACATGCTGTGTTTATTGATCATTTTATAAAATAACGATGGGTGATATCACCTCCTTTTATAGATTTTTTATTTTAATTTTTGAATATTTAAATCTTATTATTTTATACTATTCTTTTAACCAAAATTAAGTGTGATATAAAAGAAATCTTCTTGGATAAGAGTAAAAAATTATGAAAAATATGATAATAGGAATATTAAGTTCTTTTAAAACCAAAATATGAGTATAATGACACTGTGATGTAAAAATATGTGTTGGCAGTGTGATTAAAAGTGATGACATTGTACAATGACAGTGTGATCGGTCAACCGGCGACGACGAATGACAGTACTATGAGTCTATGACAATTGTAATGTCACAATGTAGTGGATGTGACAGAGTAACAACGACAGTGTAAATTTTTATTTTGACCTTAATAATAGGTATGAGTTGTGTTATAGTCGTCATAAGATTTCGATGTAAAATGTGATTTTTTTTAAATATTTTCTATGAGCACATAGTTGAATCTTTTTACAATGAGCATAAAATGAATATTGACTTAAAGATCATAAAAAAATTGCATTGCCAATAATAAGTAATAATGTTGTTAGTATTTGTACAGTTTTCTGAGATCTAACTATCTAAACTTCTCATTTAGTCATTTTATAGAATTTTCCTAGTGAATAACACAATAAGGATCATCTTTTTGGAAAGCTAACATATCAATGTTTGAGGAACAAAATTTGGCATCCAATTCCCTCAAATAACGTTGCATCTCATCTCGTCTATTCCCTAATTTATACACCCATTCTTTAATTACCGAGGACTACCTATAGTAGACCTAATTTTACTGCTTGATTTTAAACATAAAACTCTGATTTTATTATATATTTTCAATGTTTTATTTTTACTTTAGTCTTTTTTTCTTTTATTAAACGAGTAGAAAACAATGTTGTGATTATTTTGAGTAATCACGAAAGACCGTGTTCCAATTGAGACACATACAATGTTTTGCTCGTAAAATTAATAATTCCAACCCTATAACCACCGGTAAACCTCCACCAGTCTCGACATCAATCCATTGTTTTACTCACGTGAATTGCGGAATACAAGTTTAGTTGACTTTGACTAATTTAATTACTCCTACCATACAAACCTTGGCTCGTTGGAACTCTCTATATATTGGCAAAGAATTAGTGAAATTAAAGGATTCCAACCCTAAAAGCCCTACCTCTCTCCGCTTCAAATTCAAGAAGAGAATTATTATACTGTAATGGAGTTTTATTATTATCGTTATTTCCCAAGGGAGATTCTGTTCGAAATACTCACCCGGCTTCCGGCCAAATCCATACACCGTTTCAACTGCGTCTCCAAACTCTTCCGGTCCATCATAGCCGACCCCCACTTCGCCGAGGTGCACCACCGCCGCTCCTCCGCCCGTCCCGGCGGCGTCAACATCCTCCTCGCCCTTCCTTCTCCCCCGTGCAAGCACGAATTCTACGCCATAAACTACACCGACCCATCAATCCAAGAAAAGATCCGATTTTTGGAGGGCCCAGACTTCGAAAACCTGACCAATCCGCCGGCGGCTGCGAACGGGCTGGTCTGCCTGTCCAACAACGACGGCGACGTCGCCGTCTGTAACCCCAGTACGAGGCGCCACGTTTTCCTCCCAACAAGACGTTTTGTGCGGCGGCGGCCTTCCCAGAGCTACGCTCTGGTTGTTCTGGGATTCGACCGGGGTTCCGGGAAATACAAGGTTTTCATGTCGGAGATGAAGATGTGGGGTGGACTGATTATGAGGCGACATTCCGTGTTTACCCTTGGAGTGGATAAATCATGGCGAGAGGTGTGTTGTCAAAAACTACCCTTCTTCCCTCGTTACTACTCCGTATTAGATACAATAATTTTCACTATTAATATATTCATTTTATATATAATTAAGAAATATAAAAATATGATATTTCAAAACTAGATTTTAAACTAATATCAAAACTTGATGTATTTTTTCTAATGTGTAGTCAAAATTTAAACGAGTTGATCTCAAAAGTCATACTAGGAAGAATTAAAGATATGAGACAGAATGAATTAAAGTGTATGATTCAAATTGATGCAAAAGATAAAGAAACTATAAAGATTACAAATTTTGTTTCTAAACAAAAAGTCGAACCTTTTTAGGCAATGTAGAGATTAAAATATTTCATCTGCTTTAGTAGTTAAAAACTGGGAGAATTATCTAGGCCTTGTATGGGAATAATGTTTTCAATTATATTTTGGATAAAAATTTAATTTTTTAGTGATATATGATGATGTTAACTATTTTGACCGGTTTTATGATATAAAAATAGATTAGTTATATTATTTATTAATTAGTATTCTTTATTATTATATAGTTAATCATGTTTAGGGTTTAGTACGGGCCCGAGCCCATTAGATCAACTAGCGTAGCTTTACTATCTATATATTGTAATCTTTCTCCGATATTCTGAAATCAATAAAGAATAATCAAAACCCTAATCTCCTTCTTTATTCTCTTGGAGCTCGGAAACGCTCGAAGTTTTCCATCTTTCTCTACCTCATCTTCTTAGAGCTTGAAGAACGCTCGAAGTTCTTCCATATCCAATACGATATTCGTATCATTTTATCATTTTTACTGTGCCAAAATGATAAACGGGTCTAATAATCACCAAAAATACGAACAAGCTATTTTTGACATGGAAACCTTAATCGAGAGAAAACCACAAGCTTTTTTTGGCGGTACCATGCCAAAGGAGAGATTCTATTAATATTGGGGGTAATACATATATAGTACATGATATTGGCTTATAAGCCATTGATGGAGCTTGTAGCTCGTTAAGAGAAGAAAACTATAATATGAAGAGGGAGTATTTATCCCCATTGTGTAGTGGCCCACCATATTGTTGAAGGTGGTGAGTTGTATTTTTAGTGAGAGATGGGGAACAAAGGAAGTAGTTATGGAGAAGGATATAATGGTGGAGATATTTTAAGAGACGGAGTGAATGGTTGAGTTTTATATGGTAAAGAGTGAATGGTGTAGTTAGTTATGGTAAAGAGTTGACTAGAGAGATGATGGAGTAATCTGTGGGGACTGATTGGTGATGATAATTATGGTAATAGTAATTAGGAAACTTAGACCGGGATGTCCGGGTCAGATAATATTTCCCCTCATGAAGTCCTCCACTTTTTGAGTTGTGAGAATCATCAACTCAAGATAATAAACAAGTCTTCAAAGTCTTATCCTCAAGCTCTCAAAGAGCAATACACTGATTGTAAGAGACTTGCAAAGATGCGACCATGACTATTTTTGTGGAGATGGCGACGCTGGAATCCATCAGCTACGAAGGATTTCAGTGATGGCGTTGGGAACCACCATGGGCGATATATTTTGCTGGTAATGGCATGGAGACTGGTGACAAATTTTACCCGTGGCATGGAGGATTCCATGGCGGTAGCGACATGAGATTTTATCACCGACGTTTGCGATGGATCTAAGTCGCGTAGGCATATTGCCTTCAACAGAGGCAGCCACCATTTACCAGATCTGACTGCTTGGCCAACGCCTCAATGAATAATCAGCTATTCATTGGTGACAATGAGATCCTAGCCGAATAGAGGCAACAATGTAAGATTTTGGCGATGGAAACTCAAAACAGAAGTGGTAGTAGACATGAGCATCAATGAATAATCAGCTATTCATTGGTGACAATGAGATCCTAGCCGAATAGAGGCAGTCTATCTTCAAGAGTATGGTTGATGCATGCACATGTATATTTTTAATGAACTAATTTTCTATTACTTTTACACAATATTTAAACATTTGTCCATTTTTACGGAGTTAACTGGTCATTTATCTCCAATTATTTGGGATAAATTTTAAACGGAACGTACTGTAACGGACGTGTTAATGGCTATCATTAACACACCACTAATAAGAGCCACTAATGACTATCATAAGTCTGCTTTAGTCTTATGGTGGAGGTTACAAATTTTTTTCATGCTAGCCTATTAAAAGAGGAGTTAAAGCTCTTACTTGGACATATGCTTCATGCGTGAGGGAAAAAAGGAGAACAAAAGAGACTTTTTACTTCATTAAAGAGTATTCTCCAATTTTTGAGAAAGGTGTTTATGTTTTTTCCCAATAATCCTCTTCTATTCTCTCTATTTTTTAGTCGACAACACTATAACGACGTTCTCGTTCGTAGGTGTGAGGTTCACTACAAAAAAACGCGGAATTGGCACGGCTTTTTGGCACGGACTGTAGTTTAAGTTTTTCATGACAAAGGTATTAGGCACGGATAACAATTTTATCCACCACACACGATAACAATTTTATCCTGAGACGAAAGTACCCACGTTCTCCAGTACGGTAGGCGGACACTATTACCTTAAGGACAGCTCTGGCAACTCCGCTGCCCTTCTACGATATTTTATTTTGTAGATTTTGTTCACATGGTCTACGTCGTAGTTTGTAGCTTCACTCTAGTGCATAAAGTTTTTCAAGAAAGGCCTTTGAAGATCGGAAGTACAGTTATTTTTATTTAATGTAATTAAATATAAATAAATTATAAATTTGGATTTATTTTTATTTTATTTTATTCTGGGGTTGTTCATCTTCCCTGTCCGTTAGTAATCTGTATCATAACTTTCCAACAACAGTTGTGAAAGATTTAAGTGTTAGCGGCGGCAATAGATCGTCGAAGCTTGAACATGGTCTTCTTTTTCCTTCATTTTGTTTTTCTCGAATATATACAACTTTGAATTCGAGAAGAGTTTTGAACTTTGAATTTCCTCTGCTTCATTTTCATTTGACCCGAAACTTGTAGTGTGATCTTCGTATATTTTGCACAGCTTTGAAATTGATCTTTGTACGCCGAACTAATCTGTCCCATGGGGGTAGCGCCAAATGATGGTGTTAATTGATTTGACCACTTTTATCTTTTTTACTATGTCAAAAGAATAAACGAACCTAACAAACACCAAAAATATGAACTATCTATTTTTGATATTGAAACCTAAATCGGGAGAAAACTATGAGCCTTTTTTGGTGGTACCATGCCTACGAAGAGATTTTATTGATATCGATGGTAGTACATAATACATAATATTGGCTTATAAGCCTTTGATGGAGCTTGTAGCTCGTTTAGAGAAGAAAACTATAATATGAAGAGAGAGTACGTATCCCCGTTGTGTAGTGGCATGAATTGGCCTCCACCATATTGAAGGTGAAGAGTTGTATTTATAGTGAGAGATGAGGAAGTAGTCATAGAGAGGGATATAATGGTGGAGATATTTTAGGAGCGGGAGTGAATGGTGTACGTTAATATGGTAAGAAGTGAACGATGGAGGTAATTATGGCAGGAAGTTGACTAGGGTGATGATGGAGTAATTTATGGGGAGTAATTGGTGAAGTTAATTAATTATGGTAATATCAATTGAGATATTTGGACCAGGATGTCCGATTTAGATAATATTTCCCATCAGTATATAAATCAAATTTCGAAATACTAAAGTTAAAGGTTGTTGTTAGATAACATTTTGAAAATCCTATTTAATGTCTAACGTTGTCAAACGGGTCCCTAACTAGGATTCAAATATATTCCATATCTACGAAAATATGATTTATGATGCCAAAAACTTTCAATATTTAATGCGCTTTCGTCACTCAAAATCTTTCTCATATTAACTTTTAAGAGATTTAAGGAAGTTATTTTTGTGTTCACCTTCTAAAAATACTCTTAGATCTTAGATGTAAAAGATAAAAGTATGATGTGATAGTAGATTAAAAGTGAGTAAATGTGAGCTGATAGGTAAGCTAAGAATTAATAGAGATAAAAATAATTTTTTGGCAGAAAGTAAAAATATTTTTTGAGACGGGTGAAAAGTGAATAAAAGGTTTTTAGGGACGGAAGAATTACTAAAAAATACTGAAATGCTGTCATCTGCCAAGGTGTGGCATTCCACATTCCCAATGCTTCTATTTAGAAGATAAAAACATGGGAGGTCCTAGTTTGATCTAATAAGTTTTATATTTTAATCATATTTAAGTAGATTTCTTTAAAAATATGGGTTTTTTTATTAAGTTGGTTTCATAACATGGTATCAAGGTTTTTTGTAACCTAGATGTGATGAATTCAAAGTTTAAAATTTTACCGCTACTCAAATTTAAAAAATTAATATTCACATGAGAGACTTAAGCAAAAAAATCTTGCTTTCATACGAGGGAGCATGTTAGAATATAAGTCTTATAATATTATCTATCTAAATAAGATTAAAACATGCATGCAACTTATATATTTTTATCCTAAAATTAAAGTGTTGCCACTATAAAACACTCTTAATTTGGCAATATGTCTTAATTAGCATTTCACATTTTTTCATTATATATTTGGCATTATAAGTTTTATTTTGGTATAAAAAATATTGGAAGATCATATACATTTTGTTATATGATGCATGTTTTAATCCTAGTTAAACATTTCTTTCTTGCTACAGTCATACATTTGACCTTTTGATTAAATTCATTTTTAACATTATTGGCATACATTTATACGCACCTAAGATGCACATGAACCTTTTTATTTGATTGATAAGCAATTACAATGTATTTCTTTTATTTTGTTTTAAATTTATTTTTATGTGTGAAGGTCTGTGTGCACCCAAAGTGCATGGTGGACTCTCTCTTTATTATCAGCTTCCCTGATGAGAGCGTTCATGTGGACGGTGTTATCTACCTAATAAGTTGGATGAAGAAACAAGAAATAATTGCTTTTAGAGTTGGGGATGAGGACATGCGATTGATGCCCTTCCCAGATATTGATCATCGTACGCTACATTTCCAAAGCTATATGATGATGATACTGGCATCACGGTGGATAGAACTGGACGGTCGACTCGCTCTCATCAACGTTCATCATGAGGCAGGAGAGAGGAGTAATATGGATGTATGGACTTTGGAGAAATCAAGAATGAGATGGGAGAAGATAAGTGTTTCTATTCCATTGGAAGAGAGTATGATGATAAAGAAATCTCTTTCCATTGCCTTTGCAACCACTGGTTTTGGGGAAATTGTAGTGTCAATTCAAGAAGGCCACTCTCTGTGGGTTTTGCTTTATGCATATAGAAGACAAGTGTGGAGAAAGATTGAAGTGTGTAAACTTGTTGGTTGTGTTAGTTTTTATGTCAATGATCGTTTGAAAACCAGTGTGGATGTAATACACGAGAATTTATACTTTTTTGAGAATTGAAATGAATGGAATTTTCTTTATTGCATGTGATGCATGTTTAGCAATCTAAAGATGTAAGCTAAAGGTTTATAAGTGATAATTAGTGCTTTTTCCTAAAGATGTTTTTCTCATTTACTACTAACACAATCACAACTTCCATATTTTATTTGCTTATTTTCAATTTGATAATTAGTATATATATATATATATATATATATATATATATATATATATGTATGTATGTATGTATGTATGCATGTATGCATGCATGTATGCATGCATGTATGTATGTATGTATGCATGTATGTGTGTGTAGACATCCTTGATAATACAGAATGTCAAATGTGAAAATGAATAATTTTATATAAATATCATTCAAGTTATTGTCTATTTATGTATGTATAGTCACCCTTGATAATACAAAATGCCAAATGTATGTGCTTATTTTCACTATTCTTGTAAAAGATAATGTACATACTCTTTCGGACAGAGAGAGTGCGTATAAGACATTTGATAATTAGTTCATATGTGTGTGTGTGCATGTAGTCGCCCCTCATAATACAAAATGTCAAATGTGATAATGAATAATTTTATATACACATCATTCAAATTATTGTTTATAAATTTGTAAACCAACATAAGTCATCATTAAAGGTGGGAAAAAACTCAACTCACGTGGTACCAGGGGCGGATCTACAGCATTGCATATGGGGGCAGCTGCCCCTAGTGAAATTTTTTTTTAATATATATATATGTATATTTTTAATGTTATATATAATTGCCCCCAATTAAAAAAAATCTGCCCCCACTGGCCCAAAACAATTAAATAGGCTAGAGACCCATCCAAAATTAGCCCAATCCAAATTCCCAAAAATTAAAAAGAATTTCCCCCCTTCCCTTTGCTTTTGGAGAAATCGAGAAGAGGAGCGGAGCAATTGAAGACCGATTCTGCTGATTGCCGAACAGCCTGAACAGTCCGCCGTGTCGCCGTCGCCCGTCCGCCGCATCGCCGCCGAGCAGCACCGAGCAGTCGAGCACCAGCTACCAGGCACCAGGTATTTCCAAATAATTTTCTCTCCTTTTTTAAATTGTGAACTAAATAATTAGGTAAATCTGAAAATTAGATTTATGTGTAATTTGTGAAACCTTTTGAATAATTTGTTTTTATATTTCAATTTTCTATTTGATGAAATTGTTTCTAATGTTGAATTCTTGATTATTATTAATTATAATTTATAATTGTCCCAAAACATATGAATTGATGACTCTAGTCTCTAAAAATATATTAATTCTCAATTGAAATATTTAAATAATTTTCTCTAATTTTTGGACATAGATTTAGTAAAAAAGTATATTTCATTTTATGTTTTTAGATAATGGAGAAGTTTTTTAAACGGAAGTCCCCCTCAACACTGACAACACATGATTCTGGACCATTTGTACCTTCAATAGTTAAAGAAATAGATTTAAGTGATCTTCTGTGGGATCCTTCAGACAGAAAAAAGATTTTAGAGTATCACCCTAATTAAAGAGATGAAATAAGAAGAAAATATTTGATTAGAGGACCGTGTCAACCGCGTGGCCATGATTTTCAGTCAAACATCGTAAACTGAAACAGGCGCTATAAATTAAATTGGGACGGATGGAGTATAATTTTACTAATTTTAAAATATTTTGTTTTTCTTATTTTAAATTTGTTTGATATAAAATTAATTTTTTCATCATGATATAAAGTACATTTTAAAAAAAAAACGGGGGCTCTGCCCCCGAACCCCCGCTTTGCTATACTGCCCCCAGTCATTCACAATCCTGGATCCGCCACTGCGTGGTACCATACTAGACCGTGATAGTACCGAACCGTTTATAGTGTTTTTAAATATAATTGTTTTTCATCACGAACCGAAACCGAATCGATATCAAACATGATGGAATCGTGATACAAATATTTAAAGTCGATTATCACGGACCGAATCGTTCAAAACTATATACGAAGTATCTCAAATAAGTATATGTCTATTTTATCTTACCGTATATGGAATACTTTGTATGGTATTATTCATTTTTAAAATTCTTCCATTAAAATTGTTGATATTATATTTATTACGGAGTACTACTATTACCAATATTTTTAGAGTTATTAATAGGGTGATATTATATGAATTGGAAAAAAAATCTATTTTTAAATTACTCGTTATTCATTTATTATTTATGTTTATGTTTCAAAAATGAACGGTTTTAGGATTTATACCATACTAATAAAAAACTGTTTAAATAAGAGCGGTGTGTGTTAGGTTCCGGTAGTATCACGGACCTCACGGTCGATTGACTTAAAAGAAATGAATGTAAGACCACAAAGTTTGTTTGTAGTCTACAAACTTTAAAAAAACTATCATTTACATCAAAAACAAAATAAATCTCCCATATATGAGCAAATTTACTCCTTCCATTTTTAACATGTTAAATATCATTAATTATTTTCTCCACTCTATTCAGCTACTAGTACTTTTACCCGTGTGACGCAGGGAATTGAACAAAAAAAATTTCAATTCTAAAAATTTTTCAATTCAACATTTTTTCTTGGAAAAAATATATATCTATCCCATGAATCGAAATACTATATATAGACAAAAATTCCAAAGTAGAATAAATAATATTTGATGAATTAAATGTGTACTAAACAAAGTTTGTTTTAATGCCTGATTTTCTAAAAGACTTCATGGTATAGAAAATCTATTCCATCGGGTTCTGTAATATCTGGCTCTGTTTTCTCTCATGACGATATCAGTCGGGCAATGGTTGAACAACTACGGGTATTCAAGTTTAGGGGAGAAGAGAGGGAGAAACCAAATGCAAGAAAAGGAAGAGGACGAAATAATGAAAACTGGCCTTGATACGTTAACGGGCTTCAAACGTATGCTTTACGAGAGAAGAGAAAAATAGATCAAAGTCAAATATAATTTGCCTTAGTTTTTTTATTAATAAATTTTTTAAATGAAATGTTCTTTTTTATTTAATGTAACTTTTTTATTTAATGAATTATTATCATTTAAATTTAATTAATTAATGAATTTTCATTAATTTAAGTTTACAAATTGTGTATTAAAAAATTAAAAAAATAAAGATTTGAAGCCTCAATTTGAAACCACAGGACTTCAAACCCATTTCCAATGAAACTGTGAGATAAGTTAAAGCCGACGTGGCAGAGAAAGAAATTTTGAAGCTTCGATTCAAGGCCTCGGGCTTCACGACCATTTACAGTGGTCTAATGTATTGATATTGCTGTTTAAACATATACCAAAAAAGTAAAGCTAAACGGTTGAGTTCCTACTGTTGTGTTCCACCATTATTTGGGAATGAATTTTTAAAACAAGCACTAATTGGGAAAAGAGCCTTAGAGCATTCACAATGGCAAGGCAATGCCATGCCTTGCCATGTCATGTCAGCAAATTCCACTCAAATCATGGCATTCCATAACTATTCCACCCCACTTTTCATTCCATGTGCAAGGCATGACTCTCTCATTTTTTATTTTTTTTAATATTTTTAATATTAGTAATTTTTGAAAAAAATATTTTTTAAAGAAGTAAACATATTTTAATAATAAAATAGATTTTTAAAATAATTATTTATAATTAAAAATTATTAAAAAAGTGCAAAAATAGACAAAAATAACGACTTGCCACTGTATGTTACGACATTCCACTCATTTGCCACACGGTGACTGGGTTACTTTTTATTGGTTGAAATCATCCATGTCACCGTGTGGCATTTCATTTTTGTCTTGTCATTGTCAATGCTCTTAATTCTTACTTATCAATCACATCAGATCTATTCATTATTAATCTACTCATTAAATTCTACATTTTCCTATCGCATCCAAGAATATTTTTGGAAATCAAACACCAAAATACACTCCTCTAAAGTTCCTTAAAATCAAAATCTTCCATATTTTCTGGAATAGGAGGAGTAATAATTGGCGAGAGACTAATACTCCGTAGAATAATACCCGGAGTAATAATAATTGAGACGGGCCTATTTGGATGGAGGGGGATGAAATGAGGCAAACGGGTCTTTTCATTGAATCACAAATGCAGAATCCTTAGCGGGTCCAGCCCAATCAATCTCTGTTCAGCCCAAAGAAACCCATGACAAGAAAACGAAATCCCTGCCCAGCCCACAATGTAAACCAATTGTTCAAATCAATTTTTAAGATGAGTTCTGTCCAAATATTTTATAAACAGTTGTGTAATTTGATATTAGTCCAAGTAATGCTGTATTTAGCCTTCTTTATTGTCAATGGCCCATTAACCCATTCTAACCGACTCAGCACTTGTTCAACTTATTTTTATTATTCATTCTCCCGTGAAAACATTTTATTTTCCGAAATCAAAAAGTAGAAACTTTTTTTGAGAACTCAAAAACGATGAATAAAATACTCTCTTCGTTTCAATTTTGATTATAAATTTGGATTTACGAGGTAAAACCCCGCGACTTTTGAAATCAATTTAATTACAATTTGGATAAAAAAAATCAAAATTACTCCCTCCGTCCCGGAATATTTGTCCAGTTTTGACTTTTGGAACTGTTCATCTAAGCACTTTGACTCATCAAATTCTCTCAATGTGTAAGCATAAATATACTCATGTGTGATCTTGTTTGATTTGTCTTAACATATACTTCCTTCGTCCCATGAAACATGGAAGTTTTGCTTTTTAGGGGGGATTTAAGGGGAGTGTATTTTGGTATTGAATATCCAAAAATGTCCTTTGATGTGATGGGTAAAAGTATGATTTGATGGATAGATTATTAGTAAAAAGGTATGATTTGATAGTTAGGGTATGAAAAAATAAGGGTTAAAAGTGACTTTTTAATAGAAATGAGAAGTGTTTTGTGGGACGGATAAAAAAAGAAAGGAGAAAGGTTTTATGGGACGGAGGGAGTAGATTATTAATATATAATTTCTATAATTTTTTAATATACAAATTACAAGATAAAATTGATTAAAGAAGTGTATTGGATGGTGTGTAAAAATGAAAGTGGA